AACGAGCGAAAAGGCAGAAGGAGAATTCGGATGCCTCCGGCCCGCGCCATGTTAAACAAACAAAAAAACGAGCGAAAAGGCAGAAGGAGAGTTCGGATGCCTCCGGCCGCGCCATGTTAAACAAATAAGAAACGAAAGAAAAGGCAGAAGGAGAATTCGGAGGGCTCCGGCCCGCGCCATGTTAAACAAATAAGAAACGAGCGAAAAGGCAGAAGTAGAATTCGGATGGCTCCGGCCCGCGCCATGTTAAACAACTAAGAAACGAGCGAAAAGGCAGAAGGAGAATTCGGATGGCTCCGGCCCGCGCCATGTTAAATAAATAAGAAACGAGCGAAAAGGCAGAAGGAGAATTCGGAGGGCTCCGGCCCGCGCCATGTTACACAAATAAGCAACGATCGAAAAGGCAGAAGGAGAATTCGGATGACTCCGGCCCGCGCCCTGTGTTAAATAAAAAGAAACAAGCGAAAAGGCAGAAGGAGAATTCGGATGGCTCCGACCCGCGCCATGTTAAACAAACAAGAAACGAGCGAAAAGCCAGAAGGAGAACTCGGATGACTCCGGCCCGCGCCATGTTAAACAAATAAGAAACGAGCGAAAAAGCAGAAGGAGAATTCAGATGCTTCCGGCATGCGCCATGTTAAACAAATAAGAAACGAGCGAAAAGGCAGAAGGAGAATTCGGATGACTCCGGCCCGCGCCATGTTAAATAAAAAAGAAACGAGCGAAAAGGCAGAAGGAGAAGTCGGATGGCTCCGGCCCACGCAATGCTAAACAAATGAGAAATGAGCGAAAAGGCAGAAGGAGAATTCGGATGCCTCCGGCCCGCGCCATGTTAAACAAATAAGAAACGAGCGAAAAGGCAGAAGGAGAATTCGGAGGGCTCCGGCCCGCGCCATGTTAAACAAACAAAACACGATCGAAAAGGCAGAAGGAGAACTCGGATGCCTCCGGCCCGCGCCCTGTTAAACAAATAAGAAACGAGCGAAAAGGCAAAAGGAGAATGCGGATGGCTCCGGCCCGCGCCATGTTCAAAGAATAAGAAACGAGCAAAAAGGCAGAAGGAGAATTCGGATGCCTCCGGCCCGCGCCATGTTAAACAAATAAGAAACGAGCGAAAAGGCAGAAGGAGAATTCGGATGGCTCCGGCCCGCGCCATGTTAAACAAATAAGAAACGAGCGAGAAGGCAGAAGGAGAATTGATATCGCGCTCCCGCCCCTTATAAGCCTTGTCCCCGCCCTCCACCGCGCACCGTCCGCGCACCCGATATCCGCGCCTTTCCCTGCACACCGTCTGCGCACCCGATATCTCGCTCCCGCCCATTGTCCCCGCCCTCGCCCGCGCACCGCACCGCGCACCCGATATCGCGCTCCCGCCCCTTCGCGCACCGTCCGCGCACCCGATGTCAAGGCCCGCGTGCCACCGTTTAGTCCTCTAAAGCTCTTCCGTCAAGACACGGTCCGATGTCGCGCGCCTCGCTTTGGAGCACTAAACGAGAACCCAACCCCAGAGGGGTTTTCGGGAAAAAAACCGGTGGACGCATTTGAGCGATGGAGGACCAGCAGAAGTTTCGACAGGCAGACGAAGCTCCCAAGACCTCTCCAGCCCCTCGAGATGAAGTCGTGGGCTGCAGGTTCTCTCTCAGAAGCCCTTGGACACAAGCGGCGTCGAAGCTGAGGCGCCTGCAAGCGCGCACCACGAATCCAGGCTGATGGGCTGCGGCAACGGGACACCTCGAGAGCTTCGATCTCGAACGCTGCTGCATGCCGTCGCATGGTGCTGCGGCGTAGTACGTCCCGCGACAGTACACAGTGTAGTACACAGCTGCTTGCCGGCCACACAGAAACCCCCGAACCAAAAGAACCCTCATAGAATGTTGACAGAAGGTTTTTGGACCCTCAAGAACCCTTAAAGGAACTCTTTGTAGAAACCCCCTGAAACAGAAATGCCCTACTCTCCCTTCGCTGAGAATTTAAACGAGGGGCCACAGCTCGCCAGCGACCGCTGCAGCTCCAAGGCCTCAGGGAGCCACTTTGGGGCGACTTTGGGGGTTTCGGGTTCAGGGTTTAGCGTTTAGGGTCTAGGGCGAAACTGTGGGGTCGAGGGTGCGAGAAGCCAAAAGCTGCGATCTCTGGAAAATTTGAGGGCAGCTCATCGCGAAGCCAACATCGCAGCGCCGCTGCAGTTCCTGGAAGCAAGGTCTGCAAATGCGAGGCGTCCTCAACATGTAAGCCCTCAGTGCACCCGCCTGTCTACGACCTCTCCCAGGGTGGCTCGGCTCCTTGCGGAGGGCCAAGGCAAAATCGGGCGGTTTCCATCTCCAGAGAGGCCGAAGTCCGAAAGCGGAAAGCGCCTCCTTCTTGGGCGTCGCAAGGCGTTCCCCCGCACCTTGTGCAAATTACTGCATGTATGTATCGACGAGTACACCTAGCTAGCTAGACAAGTAAATAGATAGACAGGTGGGTGGATAAGTAGATAGGCAGGCAGCTAGGTAGATAGATAGATGGATAGATAGATCGAAAGAAGGATAGATGGATGGATCGTACATTCACATAGATGCGCACTTCTACGCCAAACAACTCCTACTGGTGGATGTGTGTGATGTTTCCGTTTCCCTATCGAAACAAGTCACGCATGGAACACACGGGAGTTCTGCGATTTACACAAGAGAGACCCCAGCCTGCTCGGCAGCCGTCTGCAGGCGATGAAAGTTTGGACTAGCATAGACTTTATAGCCTTTTGGACGATTGTAACGGAAGCCCGGCATTTCTGTGCGCTGGACCAGGCTCTGCGACAGGCCAGCACACGAAGCTACACAAAGCCAACAAACCCTCAGGTTTAAGGCTGGGCCGCCAGCCGCAATTCGACCCGCGCGGCGGCCTGCAAGACAGGAACGGGAAAACGGGAAGCTTCGAGCATTTTTGAGTCGGTCAAGGGCTCTTCAGGCTCATCTGGGGAGCCGGACTCCCCGAGCTGCCCCGAAGAGAGTGCGCGAAGCTGCCTCGCAGTCACTCCTTCGAGCGGCCTCTTCCAGGCCGGCCCCCGGCCGGGCCTTGGCTTGCTTCCACCAGGCCGCGGCACTCTCTGCCTAAGCAAGGAACTTAAGCTGGCCATGTTTCTGAGCAACGGACTGCGGACTGCTGGGAACCCCACGCTCCCCAAGGATCTCCACAGGTAGGAGCCTGGGAAGTGCGAACAGGACACTGGCCCAACATGCGAAGGTCGCCCTTGGGGGCGCTGCCCGGAGTTACCTCTAGGTCTGACAAGAGCTTCGACGAACGTCCTCCCAAGCATCTTTGTAACAGCAGTCATCTCTTTGCACTGCCAGGCGATGGCCCTATGGCATGGTGGAAACTGAGAATTTGAAGGCCAGAGTCTGCAGTCCTCCCGCTTGAAGACGCGGAACTTCGAGCATCCTCTTACACACACACACACACACACACACACACACACTCCACTCACGCAAGCAAGCGGCCGTCTCATGCAACCGCACCGCTTCAGCCGTTACCGCTCCATCCTCTGATTGCAGCTTGCCACGCTTTCTGCCACTGCGCACACGACAAAACTGCTAAGCAAGCTGCATGTGCATGCCGCCGCGCTTTCGGCGACGACGATATATGCAATCAGGGAGGCTGCTCGCATGGGCCGTGGATTTGAAACCTCGCGGTGACCGCAGGCTGTTCCAAGTGCGTCTTCAGCGGCACCACGGCCCCTGAGCCTTGCTCCCCAGAGCCGGTGCTTCGTGGTCGGATCGCCGAAACTTCGGCTGCGGCACACCGGCCGCCCCTCAAACAAGTCATTGGAACCTTCTGCACCAAGCCTCGCTGCGCATCTGCTAATTTGCAGATGCGCATGCCACCACGGGAACTTGTTAAACAAATCTATAGTCGGAGCTCGAGACCAGACTTGGTTGGATCTCAGATTGATTTGCTTCTGCCGCTTTCAGCGTGGCAACTTTCAACGAAATGGGTTTCCTTGAGAGGAGCTGTCCAACCTCGTCTGGTGCCCGCGGTATCACTCGTACGGTGACCCGCTCCGTCTGGCGGAATGCTGAGATGACGGAAATGACGGAAATCTTGAAATCCCTTTCGAAACGAGATTTCCGCAGCGGTGCATCCGAGCTCGCCAGCCCCGAGCCCTCTGTCCCAGCTGCGCCCCCAAAATGGCGCCATTCGAGTTCTCAGTGAGTCCTAGCACCTGCCCATTTAGTTTTGGTGCCAGGGGCTGGCATCCCGACGAGTTGCAGCACGGTGCAATGCGTTTCAGGAGTGCTAAACGCAACAAAACTGGCGAGGCTCGTGGCGGCAGCTTTCATTTTCCTTCGCTGGCTGCTACAACTAGTAGTGCTAAGTCACTAGCTATACTGCGCAAGCCGCAAGAGCCTCGCATGCCCACACAGCCGGGGGAATATGCCCCATGCTTGCAGAGACCCCGGGAGCTCTTCGGGTCGCGAAGCTTCAAGGAGCCTCCTCCTGAGCCGGCTCAAGCTCACTCCACGGTCACAGCTCCAAGATCGTAGTCGTTTAAGTCTCAGCTGCAAGTTATGTCAACAAGGCAGAATCCGGTCTAAACCGAGCGATGTGAGACGTGGTTGCTGTGTTCGCCCCAGTTTGGGTTTTCGCCGAGGAGAGAAAAGTGGAGGGAAAGAGAGAGCGGGCTTTCGCGTTTAGGGACTGGCCGATGCGCAGTGCCCAATTTCTCCCAGTCACGTTATGGGTCCCGTGCGTTTGATTTAGGCCGAGGTGCGCCGCTTGAGACCACAGTCCCACCTATAGGTTTGCATGCTGTGGAACTCGCTCCACAAAGCATCTGGCAGCGCGCACGCGATGATCAAGAGAGGGAGTGGCAGCACACTAGATAATCCCAGGTTTGAGAAGCAAGACATCTGTCAACAAGAGCCGCAAGTCATGCGCACTGACTTCACTCTGCAACGCTGGAGCCCCTGAAGCCTGTCTCTGTCTACTACCGTCATAAGAGTCGTAGTAACATGACTGAACATCCACTAGAAATCCCGTCGATGTGCGCTAGTGGATGCCTTGCTGACCAAGAGGCCCGCCCAACTGTTCATTCTGTTAGGGTCGCCCCAGCACTTGAACGTGTCATCATCCAAGCGTGCGCATGCGTGGTCCTTTCCAGCAACCACCTTCACAGCTGTCCGGCCCACCCCTAGGTCGATAAATGGGAGGTTGTCGCCCATGTCGCTCGAGGCATCGCCGACTGGATTGTCTTCAGGAACTTGAGGATTGGCAAGGCCCACATAGTTACGGCCCCAGCATTTGACACCTCCACCCTCGAGAATGGCACACACATGGAACGAGCCATGCGCGATGTAGATAGCCTTCCTGGAAAGGTGATCTATATTTAAACAGATATTACAAAAAGGAACTGATAGGAATCCCAAGCCACTGACACGACCAGCAGGAATAGAATAGAAGCCAAGACATAATGAGAAAATGTACTACTACATGATGCGAGGGCGAGGTGGGGTACGGTGTACTCCGAGCTTCCGTGGCGTGCCTTCATTGGTGCCCAAATCGACGACCGGCAAGCCATCACCCATGTCCTCTGGCTTCCTGCCAACATTCGGCGTCGCCGCTGAGGTTTCACCCCTGCCCAGCTGCCCCAAGCCGTTTTCGCCCCAACACTTGACCTCATAGGCAAGTCTTTCAATTCTACAGCTTCTCTGTGCAACTGTATAACAACAAGGTTTGTAGCAAAAGCCTATAGGGTCTGCGGAGAACTACCGAGACGGACCACTAAAGGGCCGGCCCGAACCGAGCTCTAAGAAGGGCCGGCTGGCTGCACCAGTGTTGAGCAAAGCACACACGGAACGATAGCCAACTGACACTTGCACTGCGTGGAGGTCGGTACCCAGATCGATTGGCACGTACGTTGGTGCAGACCTGCTGTTATCAATGTCGCTGCCACGCCCAAGCTGGCCTTCCCGATTTCGGCCCCAACACGTCAGTTGCCGGCCATCTGTTGGGTGTTGGACAATGGCACATGCAAACTCAGTGCCAGCATCGCCGTCAATTGCAGGGTTGCCGGCCAGGTCCACGGTAGGCAAGTTGTCCCCCATTTCGTCCGGAGCATCCCCGGCCTTGTTGCCGTTGGGTACAAAGCCGAGCTGTGCGAAATCACTGAGGCCCCAACATTTAAGGGACTGATCATCCAAGATGGCACAGGTGAAACGGTGACCGGCCATCAGTTTCACGACTTTGCGATTGGAACCTACATCCACCGCAGGCAGCAAGTCCCCCATGCCTGTCCCTGCAACACCTTGGCCTCTGTAAGCATCGTCGCCCAAGCCAAGCTGCCCCACCCTGTTGTCGCCCCAACACTTTGTGTCGTCATTGTCAAGTATAGCACAAACGTGAAAGCCTGCACCGCCCGAAGCCAAAGCCGTTGCGGTTCGGCCCTGTCCAAGGTCCACCTTGTTTCCGTAGGGGGGCGATGCGCTGGTGCCACCTGTGCTTCCGTGCTCGTTCGAACCAACGCACCACACCTTGCTAGGAACGTTGGCGCTCTCCACGATGGCGCAGGTGCCAAGCTCAAAGGCTGCGAGGTTGGCCTGAACGAATGCTGAAAAGTGCACGCTACATCCCTCTACTCGGCCTGTGCCTGCATGAGGCCCTTCACGTCACCCCAAGCCCTGTGCTGCAAGCTACTGCAGGCTGCTGAGTCCTGGGCCAATGCTTGAGGGGCAGTCGTCGTTGTGGTGGACGTCCTTGCCGCGCAACTGATGCCTCACAAGCCGTCCGCTGTAAAACAGCAAGCGAATGCGTGACGTTTTCTGAGCATTGATCCTCTGAGGCCCCGGGCAGGTGTCGGGGGCGATCTGCGGGTTGCCGGTGTACCAGCTCTTATCCAAATACTCGCTCTGCACCCAGGCGGTCTCACAGGGGAAGTCGGCCACTGGCGAGCTGTCGCAAACTTGCTTTGCCGCGGGGTCAGGGATGTGGACTGCCAGGCCGGAAGTGTCGACGACCAGGTCCTGGCAGGCCTGCACAGCAGCTTGGGTGAGGTTGCTCTGGAGCAGCTGAATGTAGCAGATGACCTTCTTTGCGGCAGTGTAGGAGGCCTCACGGCGCGAGTCCGAAGCAGCAATGGTGGCTAGCAACTGCAGCCACGTTTGGTTGACGTTTTGATAGCAAGTGTCGATGGCGTCGCAGCTGTCCGTCAGCTGCTGTCGGTACTCACAGAAGTGGCTCTCCAAGGTGGATTGCTCCACCCGGCACTCCTCGCTTCGGTTGTTCACCGCATGGAGGCTGCTGAAATAGGTATCTTTCAGGGTGACCATGCTAGGTTCGAAGCTGCCAAAGAAGCTACTGATGGTGGCTGCGCAATCGATCATGACCTGCAGATGCTCGGCCGTCTGCGGGTTGTAGCCGTCCAGGTAGGCCTGCATGCAGTTCCTGACGTCTTGGGGCAGCGCTTCGGTGCCGTTGCCAAGGTAGTTGAGCCAGGCAGTTCCGTTCTGGCCCGACAAGGTCTGCTCTGTGGTGCGGCAGGCGTCGTGGGAGCTGCTGGCGCCGCTCACAAGGGTGCTCAGGTTCTGGCTTTGAAGCTGTCGAGACGACAAATCGCTGTTGCATTGAGCGAAGCCCTCCGCAAGGTCAAGGAGCAGCTGCTCGTCTGCGAGGTGGGAGGCGTTGATCTGCGCGAGCAAGCTCTGCATCTCCGTGAGCACGGAGTGAAGGAGAGTCATCGTGGTGTTGCTCAAGCCGAAGTCCTCGCGCGTCAGGTTGTAGTCGCTGAGATTCTGCGCATTCTCCATCTCCGCGAGCTTCTGCAGGGCCAGGGCCTCCATGTCCTTGTGGACCTTGTGGACCTCATCCAGCCTTCCTTCCTCCATGTCTGCTCCGCGCTCTGCCGCGTGTTCCGCCAAGCTGGGGAAGGGCCAAAGCGAGTGCCCGCCGGACTTCCCGGCGGTGACCTGCAGCAGCGCGGCCTGCTCGCAGGTCTCCTCGGTCGCCTCGCAGCCGGGGGCGAAGGACATGGCCTGTGTGGCCAAGGCCAAGGCAGCCACGAGGCCGGTCGAGGCCTCAACAGCGAAAGAACCAAAGAATCCGAAAAAGGAAGTATGGGCACACGCGCGACAGGTTCTGGAAAGCTACAGTATTCGTTGCACTGCCGAGGCACTGCCAAGCGCGAGGCGAAGCCGGGGAGCATGGTGGGAAGTCCCAGGCACGGCTTTAAGGTCGGTGGGCTGACGCGGCGTCAAAAATAACTTGGGCCACATAGCAGGAGTCACAGTACTAGGTGCATCGAGCCGAGGCAAACAAACAACCTCAGCTACGGCAGCTTCAGGGACTCGCAGTCCCATCCCTGATCCGCTGCAAAGGTACAGACCTTAGCCGACCGTCATGTTACCCATTACCCAGCAGTATAACTGCAAGGGACTCCCTTTCGAGTCGAAGCCTAAACTAAACCCTAAAGCCCTAAGCGCTAAACCCCGAAACCCTAAACCCTGAAACCCTAAACCCGTAAACCCCTGAAAGCCACTGAGCCTGCACAGGAGGCTCCGAAGAGCAGGAGAAGAAGGATCAGCGCGCCCGACTGCCCGGCAGAAGCTTGGGGCTTCTAAGGTCACGGCTCCCTGGGGCCGACTTAGGGCTCCCTAGGGGGTTCCTTTGATTTCGCGAATGTCCAGTGGAACGTGTCTTTCCCTTTGCAGCCTGGCATCCCTGGGCAGTCTCCAAAGCACGTCTACGGGGGCGGAAGGCTCGATGCCACATGAGCTTCAGAACGAATAGCTGGTTGGGAAAAGCAATCTCATGTTACTGCACCAGATTTGTGCGTGCATGCATATATCTCCATAGCTACATACCTACATACTTGGATAGATACATACAAGCACATTTGCGGCTGTGTGTGTGTGTAGATAAAAGCTAAAGAATGACGATGAGATGGAAAGCCTCCAGCTGGGATCTGATGTGCATCATATTCAGCCGGGCCAGACGCCGCTTCACCTCACATTCACAGTAGTTGCAACGGCTTTTCAGGATCAGAAAAGTATCTTAAGTCACACGATAGTGGGATACATAGTTTCAACCGCAGAACTGATCGTCTGAAAACGACACTGGCAACGACAGGGGTAGTAGCCGTGGCAGTATCAAGATCACGACTCTCTCTCTCTACTCCAGGTACGGCTCGCCATGCTGCTCAAAGGACACCCCTCCAGGCCTGATAGCGTATCAGGTTCGCGGAAACCTGCACTGACAGAGCTGTACGTCAGCTCGATAAGGCCACTGAAGACGCGGCGCACAGAGGCTCAAGCTGCAGTGGCTGCCACCAGCGGGAATGGAAACCATCTGGACCCTGTCATGGATGTAGCAAAAGAGAGAGTGTCAAGAGTGGACTTCATATAAGCTTGCAGATGTTTTGTCACAGCATGACACTATGCACCATCTCCCCAAACCTTCAAATCCGTCCTGTCGCCTGGCCTGGGGTGGTCATGTAAACACGCACAGCTGACCCAAGTGGCAGCACATGAGCATCCAGAAGCAAGACCTGTCGGTTTGAGGGCTGGTCTCAGGGTCGAGGCTCGGCTTTAGGGATGAGGGTTTGAGCTTGAGGGCTTAACTTTCAGGGTTTAGGTTTCAGTTTTGTTTTGGGGGGGGGTTGTAGGATTTTGCAATGACATGAAGAGATGTGGATAGTCGATGTGTTGGAAGGACGCATTCCCCACTTTATGCATTCATACTTGGAGATCTGACCCGACTTAGACGTCCGAGCTGGGGGAAGTACTGATATGAAGAATCGATTTGCCGTGATATACATGATCTGTGTCTAGCAAAGAGTGGATTGTGATCGCAACTCGGAGAAAATGACTAGGAGCCCCTTTATATAGGCTATCAATGGTAGGATCCTTCTTACAGGTGCGGAAACCTCTTCATGCCCTATAGACCCATGTGCTTCTGCAGAACTTCCGACTGTAACCCTACTTGGAGGTTCATGGGTAGTTGTAAGTGGGTGTTACAAGACCCCTAATATGGATTATAAGTATATAGTTACCCTACTTATAACCCCACTTATAACTCCCCATGAACCTCCACGTAGCCCGAAATCCTATACCCCTTATAGAATCCCTATAGATCCTGAAGGAACTAGCCCGAACCCCTCCCCCTAAAACCTCCCAGTAGAGCCCGGAGAGCCCTGGGCTCGGGCCTGGCGCCCACTGCTTGCCAGGCGAAGAGCACCAGGGAGGCTGCCACGGCTGCAGAGAGCGGGGGCCCTCACTGAGGGATAGGGCTTCGGGCTCACTGTGCTTTTTACATTTAGGGTTTAGGGTTCAGGGTTTAAAGTTTAGGGGTTCAGGGTTCAGGTTTTTTGGTGTTGAAGGCTTGGGGCTGAAGGGATCTCGGGGGGGTTGCGGGTCTGCGGCTCCGGGGATTCAGGGCTCCTGCCATGAACTCTAAACCCTAACTGCCCTAACCCGAACTCCCCAAACAGCCCCAAAGTTTTAGATCCCTTCTTGGGCTCTCCCCTCGCCCAGAATCTAAACGAGGGGCCGCAGCTGGACAGTGACCGCTTGAGCGGGCTCCAAGGCCTCAAGGAGCCGCAACTTTGGGGCGACTTTGGGGGGGTTAGGGAGTTTAGGCTTTAGGGTTTGGGGTCTCGAAACTTTGGGATCGAGGGTGCAAGAAGCCAAAAGCTGCGATCTGTGGAAAATCTAAGGGCAGCTCATCGCAAAGCCAACATCGCAGCGCCGCTGCAGTCCCTGGAGGCAAGGTCTGCACATTCCAGGCGTCCTCAACATGTAAGCCCTCAGCTTACCGTTGGTTAGTAGGGAATGGAGGAACGGGACAAAATTTTAATTACTATTACTGCCATTCTTCCATTCCCTACTAACCAAAGGTAAGTCAGTGCACCGGCCCACCGGCCTATGTATCCACGACCTCTCCCAAGGTGGTTCAGCTCCTATAGGAGCACCAAGGAATGCGGTTTCCATCTCGAGAAAAGCCCAGGCCCGAAAGCGCCTCCTTCTTGGACTGGCGTCGCACCTTGCGCAAAGAGCAGCAGAGGAGCTCTCCAAATCTGACCAAGGTGCGCAAACGACTGCATGTATGCATCGATGAATACATGTACAGGTAGGTAGCCAGCTAGCTAGCTACAATAGCTGGCATTCCTAATTTAACAGCGAGAGAGATGCGCACATCTGTACCAGACAAGTAGTATTCGTAAATGCGTGTGATGCGCTTCCCTATCATAACAAGTCACACCAGGGACACACGAGGGCTCTGCATGTTACACAAGAGAGAACCCAGCCTGCTCGGCGGCCGTCTGCTGCTGCCAGTGGCTCAAGACTCTCGTTAATCGTGCTGGCCTGTGCCCACCACAGAGCTTCTCTTCTTCACGAAAGCCCTGAGACCGCACCTCTTTTGGAAGAACCGACCTGCTGCAGCTGCCGCGCCAAAGCCTGCCATGCAGATGATTCAGAGAACACAATTCCAAAGAAGCCGTGTCCAATCAGATGAATGAACCGAAAGGCTAGTTGATCAGATGGCCCGCTTGTCATCCATCGGGAGCGGCACGGATTGGTGCAATTCTTACCATACTCCTATAGGACCTATAATTGTGACTAGGTATTCCGAGCCCCTGCATGACAGCCTCGAAGCCCACCGGCACGGGAATTGTTCTTGCGCTCCAAGGGGTGAAGGGGTGGAACACAAGCTCCTGCTGCAAGCTTTACGCTCTCGCAGCTCGGACGCATCCAGACGAGGTTCATGGTCGGCAAGACAGTGGCTTAGAGTACTCTCCCGGCGGCATATGAAAGACAGCACCAACAGAAGGCAATGCCACGCATGCTGCAAGCTTTAGGGTTTAGGCTTTTGTAGCTGGTCTAGGGTTTCGGGAGTTCGGGGATTGTTTCAGTTTGGGGTTCGGGGTCGTAAGAGTGACGCATCAGGATTGAAGGCTTGAAGGTCTCATGGGACTCCAAGTTCGGAAGGCCCAAGCTTGTGGGGCGTTCTACCCTAAACTCGGTTCTTGTTGTGGGATATTAAATTCAAGTTGCCAGAATGAGGGGAACCATATTGTTTACTATATCAGATCCCTATCATGGCAACTTAAACGAAAGTCCTTAACAAGAACCCAGTCAACCCCAAATGCGAAACCTCCGGGTTCGGTCTTTCGGGAGCGAGCCTGCACCAGAGGCTCCCTCCAGCGATCTCGAGCATCTAGCCTTGGAGAGAAGGACGGTGGCCACTTCGCAGACTTGGGCTTCAGGGCTTAGGGCCCAGCCGAGAGCTTTGAAGATGTGGGGTCTAAGGACGTTTTTTTTTGAGGGCTCTTTTGCGTCTGCACGAGGGTCCGGCCTACGCAAGCCTACTTGTCTAAGGACGTTTAGGGCTTCGGGCTTAAAGCTCGTTCTTCCGGGGCCCCGGCGCCGGGGGACACCTCCCTGTCTAACAAAACACCGATGCTTTTTGATCACAGCTCCTCTGCCGGCTCACATGGGCCCATGCACAGCGACTGCATGCCTCAGCAGCTCTTCCCGGCAGCCCTTCTTTGTGGCAGGGCAGGGAGTGGGAGTGGGGAACGGATCTCTGCAGCTCCGCTACCCCTGACAACCCACTCGTCAAAGCAATCCCAAAGGTTCATTCCCTTCTAGAGGTCAAGGCAGCATCCAAACAGACCGTATTTAACCAGGAGCCACCGAGGACTTCTGGCAAATTCCCTGAACTCCAAACAACAGTAGAATTTCACTTGGGTGTAGCCGCGGATCTGAGCTCCGTGCCATTCCAAATCAAATTGAGCCAAAGGCCTGATGCTTCTGGCAGAGAGATAAAGATGAGGATATGACCGGTACGTCTTCTACTAGTTGGAGCGCAAGGCTTGGAGCTAAATGAACGAAACATCCATGAAAAAGAAAGGGCCGCTCAAAATTTCGGGAGTGGCACAAGGCCATGTGCTCAACGCGGGGCCTCCTTGCGCAGGGACCGCAGCTGGGGGTTCCCCAGAAATGAGCTTGCAGCAGCTATAGTGGCGAGTGGCTTCAATCGTCTCTGAGCAATCTCATTCTCAAGGACCTCCGATCGCTAAACCACACATGCAACCCTCATCATGTTCCAGCCTTCAATACAGGAACCCCGAAAGACGGAAGCCAGAACGTCAGGATGGGGCTCTGTGCCGGAGACCTGCGAACCCGTACGTCCTGAACCCACATATCATCCGAACTCCGAAGCCACTGAACCCCACAGCATTCCAAGTGACTCCTGCGCCCTAAGCATCACATCATCCCAAATCCTATCAAAATCAGCCCAAACCCTGAACCCTACACCCTTTTGGCATCTAGCTCAACCCTTTTTTGAACCCAGACTCTGCCGATCAGCTGGGAAGCACTCTAGCTCAACCCTAAACCCTAAACCCCAAGTGCTAAGCCGCTAAAGTGGCGGCCTCTGGCGCAGGCAGGGCGCAGGCTCAGCAGCCCAAAACATGCTCGGCCTAAGGGTGTCAGGCTTTTCCGATAATAGGGGGCCCTAGGGTTTGGCGTTTAGGGTTTAGGGTTTCGGGTTTAGGGTTTCGGGTTTCAGCACTCACACTCGGACAAGCCTTGGCGAGGTTCCCTGGTCCCACGACAGGCACATGTGGCCCAAGCCATCATACATTGACGACAGCAAACATTATCCGCGCTACGATCAACCTCAACCTGCATCCTGCAGCTATTCGCATCATCCTCAAACTGTGAACTCATCAACACAGAAATCACGGCATCCTCAGTCCAGTTGGCCCCACTGGCAAAATGCCATACATGCAGCAACACATGCACACAAATTCCCAATCCATTCATGCTCGTTGGACGCCCAAATGTCCAGACCGTTGCCACTTGCTGATGAGGGCTCGACAGCTTCATGCAGTTGCACATGCATTCAAATTCTCAAATTCCGTTCATGCGCGTTGTACGTCTAAGCGTCCAGACTGGTACGTTCCTCTGGTTGTAGGCTCGACAGCGATGCAAGGAAAAACGGCCCAGCATCGGCACTCCAGTCAGTAGACACCACAGGGCAGAGGCCCTTCACGCTGTATCGTATGCATCCAAATTCAATGCATCACCCAGATTGCTGCAGTCAGTTTGGTGTAAGCCGTGGTATGCAGAAAGCATAGCCCAAATTCCATGCATGCACAACGAAGGCTCTGTGCTTCCAGACTCGCGTTCAGTGGAGCATGTATTCGGCTGCCAGACATACATCAGTGCAGCATAACAGACTCCATCATCTCGGCCGGGCATCTCCCAAGAATACGTTTTGCGTCCGCGGTGTCAGCTATGGGACATACATCAGGGGCAGCATAACCAGAACAGCCCATCATTGGTCTCTCCGTGGGGAATCCAAGGAGACACACAATAATGAGTGGCATCAAAGCAGTCCCAGTGGTCAGAGCAGTCGTCTAGTCGTCGCGCCAGGGGCCGAAACAGCATTTAGAGCGTGGCATCGTCTGCCATCACAAGCCAGCCAGGACCCAGAGGTGCGAGCAGAAAACTGGCAGTTGTGAGCCATGGCAGAAGCGCCGCGGGCTAGGGCTACCTAGACCCCGAATAGGGAGGGTTGGAGGAGAACCCACAACACGAACGAGAACGCGGGAATGACGGGGCCGGAAAGACCCTCCAAACCCCTGCTTTGGCGTGGTTCCCGGCAGCACTGCCCTGTTTGTGCCCGTCCCCCGATCGCGGTGGTGATGCGGAGCATGAAGATCCTGTCAGGCTTCAGTGTGTTTGTAGGGCAACGGGAGTAGCAGTGGGCTCGCTTCTGGTTCGGCAACAATGCCACTCAGAAACGACAAGACGCTTGGCTTGGAGCTAAGGAACAGCAGGGCATATGACAGTGCAGGCATGTATTGACACTAGAGGGGAGGGTATGGCTATGTACGCTGCAACAAGACGCTGGGGCTATGGTGTAACAAGACTCCATGACCTAGGGAGGAAGGGAGCGGGGGGGGGGGGGGGGGGGGAAAGGGGGGAGAGGGCAAAGGGAGAGGGGTGGTTGTGGGTTTGTGTGGGGTCGTCCAAGAAGACACTCGAAGCGGCATTTCTTCTGCTTGGCTGTGGATGCTCGGTACTGTTGCAAAAGACGACCTATGATCATTCCCAAATTCGCAGGCTTAAATTCATATTCTTGAATTCAATGCAGGCATGCTGAAAATTCGATGCACCAAATTCGGGTCTTCACGACACTTGCAGTTTGCATGAAATTCAGGGGCCAGGCGCATGAAAAACATCGCTCTCGCCTCCTACTGTACGAGCATGCATCATCACAGTCGTCGGATGTGCTGCTGAGGGGCCATCGACACATGGAAAACAGGAACATAGAGGCCACAAAGAAGTAGCAAAACAGTGCAACATAGAAAGGATCTCCAGGCCCTCAAGAGCAGCGAGACATTTACAATACATGTGCTCCTAGCATCTGTGCAAGAACCGACCTCGGGATGAAAATGACCTTCCCATCCGGGAGCGTGATCGGGCACAAATATCCCTGCCCTTGGCGGCTCACCATTGGGAGGGACTCGTCCAGGTTCAGCATCGTGGGCCCTGGTCCACCCGCAGTCGCTGCCGCCGGAGCCGGAGGCGGTGGGGCGGCGGGTCCTGGTCCTGAAGCTGTGGCCGGGTCTGCAGTGGGAGAGCGTGCCGTTGGCTCCGCATTCATAGCTTCGATCTCCTTCTGAAGGACTTCCAGCTGTTCCTTGACCGCCTCAAGAAGCCCCCTCAGAAAATTGAGTTTATCTGGCAAGTGTTCGCTGTCCCCCTGAATTCTATCCAGGGATTGCTGAGCCCATCGCACTTGTCCACTGAGCTCCTTGATCTGCTTGCTCAAGGCGTAGGAGATGCCTGAGAGGTCTTTCTGGAGCTGCTCGAACCTCCCGTTCATGCCCGTGGAGAAACTCTCTTGGTTTCGTTGTAGCGGAGTGAGGAATCGTTGAAGGTCCGCATAGTCCTTCACCATCTTCTTGGCCACCGCATCCAAAGCTGTAGAGGTGTTGAGCTTGGCCTCCTCGAGGGCAGCCGAGATGGCACTGAGAGCATCTGTGATGCTTTTGTGTTCACTGCCCGCCAGTTTCGACCCAGCAGAGGAAAAGGCTTGCTTGAGGTCGTCCTTGGCACGCTGGATGGTTCTCTGAAGCTCCAGCTGGTGGCTTGCAAGGGTATTCCCCAAATTCGCGTGCATGGCATGGATTGTGTTGGCCACCTCGCCAACTTTCATGACTTTGTTCATGATGGCTTGCAGACGATTGCGGCCGTCCTCGAATCCATCATTGAGCATGCGAGTCAGGGAATCGTCCACGTCAAGCAGGCCCATGGCCCGTTGAAGGGCGTCCGCGCCAGCACTGCGGGTGGCATAGCCTTCAGCATGAACCAGCGCTTGCAGTTGTTGCACGGCCCGGACCAAATCGTCCAAACGTTGCTGGACCCCCGCACGTCGCATGCAGGGGAAAAGGGCCCACCCCCAGTAGTGGCCAAGGAAGAAGAGACCAGCCAACAAGGCTCCCATCAGACCCGTGAGGAGCATGCACCATACTCCGGTGAGATCCGGCCCATCCTCGCCTCCCTCGGGAAAGCGGTGTTGAGCCTGGTACAAGGCAACAGACATGGCGCCTCAGCACGGGAGTCTAGCTGTAGCCTTCAGTTTACTGGGCGCGTCAGCCAAAGGAGCTGCGCAAGCATGCGGCGTTAGAGCTGGCAGGAGGGGGATGCTTGAAGCAGCATGCGTCCTAGTATCTTTATGTGGCAGAAGCGGCTACCCAGAAGTACCCCAAAAGGCCCTCGTCACAAGCATCACGTCCAAGAACCCAAAGAAAACCCTGAAAACCCTGCCCAAAGTACGCGCCTCGTCGATCATGTAATCGAGCCCAGCGGCCCCCAAGCAGCCAAGGCTCAGGCTAGAGACAGGAACAGGAAGCAGTGCTAGGACGGGCAGTGGATACCAAGTGTTGGGCAGAAAATGCTGGTCCCGAGGGTCAAAGGTATCACCTACATCGTCTTCCAAACATCGCATCATCCCCTATGCGCTGGCAAGCTCGCGGCGGCACATGCTTTTACTCGGCTGCACACGCACAACTGCAAATTCCAACATGCTACATGGCTACAAATTCGGAAATCAGTAAATTCAAGGAATTCTCCAGCAGGCGCGAAGAGTGCGTGTGAAGGCTACACCAAAAGAACGAAGACCCGAGCTAACAAGAACCAAAAGCAAACACAACAAAGCACTCTCGTCCATTGCCTATGCTGAATTCGAATGTATCACAGCAGCTGCAGTTCAGTACCAGTAGGAACGGCAAGTCGGACGATGGGCAGCGCTGAAGACGAGGCACTCCCGTCCACATTCATCCCTTCGAGCGATTGTTGTATCTCGCGCAGAGCATCCAAGACATCGTGCAGCTGCCCTCGCACGTGGCCAACATGCTGTATTCCCGCGAGACCAGACACCCGAGAATGGAGTTCCTGAACAAGGGCATGAGTATTGTCCACTGCCCCCAGTCTGGATCGTAGTTGCAGGCCATGGTACAGAGAGTCCAGGGCTTCACCATGTCTTCGTCGGAGTTCAGCAACGTCGCCCCGAGTCTGGTTCAGGAGGTCATGCATCTGTCTTTGCTCTCCAAGGAGCTGCAGCAAAACAGCTTCGTGGGCACGCATTGAATTCATACTCAGTCGGAACATGCAGTACACCGAGTACATCGCTGCCAAGCATAGCCCAAAGGCCACGGCGCAGGCCAGCTGGAAAATCATGGATGGTGACCAAACCTCTACAG